AGTCAAGGATCGGCTTCGATTTATATCAAACTATGGTGCAGAGTTAGGTTGTCAAACTCGAGACCCTGAGACCGATTAAGATCGAGACCGACCAAAATCGGGACCGACCAAGATTGAGATCGACCAAGATCGAGACCGAATAAGTAAAGATTCAAGAAAGCTTACTGGTCGAATAACGCAAAGACAAAATATCCGTAATCGGACGAGGATCACGGCGCAAATCCCGACACGTATCAAGAAAAGGCCAATTAATTAGTCAATCATGGGATTTCTTACTGTATTTAGAATTTTACCAAGAGTAGGACTCCCCTACTATATAAAAGGGGTCTGATCATTTGTAAAAGACATCATATTCACGTTACATAAAGCAATATACTCTCTTTTTTCTCTCAATACTCTATTATTTTGTTCATATTTTCCAGTGAGATACTTGTTTGGTTTGTTACTCTGTTACCGTGTTCTTGTATTAACTGAATCTCCACTTGGTTCAAGGGTGATCAAATTCAAGGGCCAAGGCTACTTGATTCATTTGGTTTGCTTTAATTTCTATTTACTGCCAATTTCAATATCAATTTACATTTTTGCTCAGTTTGTGCTAAGTAAAATCATGTATCCTTAAAACCACAATACAAATTCAATGGTTACCCGTTTTTTGGGTAAACAGTTTGGCGCTCACCGTGTGGCTAAGGATAATAGTGATTGCCTGGTACAAATTTTCGTAACACACACTATTTTACGCTTGTTCTTTGACGTGTCTTTGATTACAGTATTAAAAATGTCAAACTCTCAGTTAGCACCTCAACACAATTGAATCAACTCGGAATGACCTCAAATTTGCACACAAGTTTGAATAACATAACGAACCTATTCCAACTTCTGAAATAGCAATCCGGATCCGATAATATCAATGTCAGCTTCCGGTCAAACTTATGAACTTTCCTAGTATTCAAATTGCCAACTTTCGCCAAATAGTGTTGAAACCTTCTAGAAACATCCAAATGCAAATCCAGGTATATGCCCAAGTTCAAAATCACGATCCGAACCTAATGGAACTATCAAAAACTCCGATCCAAGATCAATTACACAAAAGTCAAACTTTGTCAACTCTTCCAACTTAAAGCTTCCTAGTTGAGAATCATTATTCCAAATCAATCCTGAATCACCTGAAAACTAAAACTGACGATTCACAAAAGTCATAATACACCATATGAATCTACTCAAGACTTCGAAAAGCTGAACGGAATACAAATGCTCGAAACGATCTGTTGAGTCGTTATAATATTATACATCAATAGATCAATGATGTGCCATTACAAGGAGATAAAATATAGAAACAAAATGATGGGTGGTGTAAAAATTTAAAATAAAAAGAAGAAGAAGAAGATAGAAAGACACACATATATAGAGAGAGAGGGGAAGAGAGAAATTTAGCAACGATGGAGAATAAAAAGGAAGAAAGAAAAGTGAGGTCCTACAAAAATAAAGGGTGAAACAATGGAGAATTAAAAGGAAGAAAGAGAACTGAGGTCTAACAGTTTGTTTGGATGGTTGTTACTCATCGTTTTATAATATATTATATTATAATATATTGTATTATATTGTAGCGTTTTATGAATATAATGTTTAGATAGATTATATTATTTGTTGTTGTTAAATAATATTTTGTTGTTTGGTTTGACTGTATCGTACTGTATCATAACGGATAAGTTTACTAAAATACCTTCAATTGTTTAAATATTAAATTTATCAAGAATTACGCAAGAAAATAATTTAAGAAAATTCCTTTATACTAATTTATCACAAAATACGTCTTTAACTATCATTAGAAAAAAAATTATGATAAAGAAAGGAACGAGAATTGGCAGAACAAAGGAACAAAGAATTGTAGTTAAAATCACGTTAGGAGAAAACACGAAACAAAAAAAAAGGCAAAACCCACCTTTTACATTGGAGTTGGAAGCCTAGAAGTTATGGGGAAAAAAGGGGGACTAAGACAAAGTAGGTTATAGGTTGGAGATTTGGAGTTGATAAAAAAAAAGATAAAGGGTAAAATAGAATTATGGAGTAATAAGTTATGGCATAATTGGAAAGAAAAATAGGAATCAATTCAACCACACCAAATCGGTTGTTTCAAAAAATGGGACTTTTCGTTGTTTCGTAACAATGGATTTAATAATACAATATAACCAATTTTAATGAAACAATCAAAATAAACATTGTTTTGACATAACAATACAATACGATACAATGGGTAACAACCATCCAAACAAGTTGTTAGGGAAATAAAGGATTGTGAGAGTGTCTACGCGTGGATTCGACCTCGATATATAACAAAATGAAGAATTGTAGCATCCTCAAAGAACAAGTGCACCCAGAGTTACTTTGTACATGCGGGGGAGAAATTCAAAAATAGTCATGCTTTCAAAAGTAATCTAAATTTAGTCACTTTTCATGTAAAGATAAATCTGAGCGAAAACACTGTTCAAAACTCGGAAAATACGTCAGTATATTATGCTAGAGTCCCAACATAAGTATACTTGAACTCCAACATATTATACTGGAGTTCCAAGATAAGTATATTGGAACTCCAGCATAATATAATGGAGTTCCAGCATAAGTACACTAGAACTCTAGCATAATATACTGGAGTTCCAGCAAAGTATATCGCTCCAGTATAATATGCTGGAAGTTCATACACAAGTGCTCGAATCTCCAGTATATTATGCTGGAACTTTCCGTGTGTTGGAGTTCCAGCATAATATGCTGGAAGTTCATACACAGGTACATTGAACTCCAGTATATTATGCTGGATCGGTCTCTGTTGCAGCAAAATAGTGGCTATTTTTCAATGACTTGGCAAACACTGGCTATTTTTGAATGACCAGTCCGAAAACTGGACAGCCCGTGTTATTTTTACCATTGCGGGTGCCACTTACAATATTATCATTAAAATAGCACGGTCTAGCCAGTTTTCAAACTGGTCATTAAAAAATAGCCAGTGTTTACCAAGTCAATAAAAAATAGCCACTATTTTGCTGCAACAGAGACCAGTTCAGCATAATATACTGGAGTTCGATTCACATGTGTATGAACTTCTAGCATATTATGTTGGACCAGTATACTTTGTTGGCTCCAGTATAATATACTGGAGACTGGAGCACCGGTGCTCCAAACTCCAGTATATTATGTTGGACCGGTATATTATACTAGAACTCCAGTATATTAGACTAGAGTTCCAGTATAATATACTGGAGACTGGAGCACCGGTGCTCCAAACTCCAGTATATTATGTTGGACCGGTATATTATACTAGAACTCCAGTATATTAGACTAGAGTTCCAGTATAATATACTGGAACTCCAGTATATTATGCTGGAGTATTTTTCCGGATTTTGAACAGTGCTGTCGTTCTGATTTATCTTTACATAAAAAGTGGCTAAATTTCGATTACCTTTGAAACTGTGGTTATTTTTGAATGACCACTTGTAAATCTGGCTATTTTTTAATTTCTCCCATATTATCCGCCTTTTTGCACATAATTGTGTACATGCTCAGAATTTTTGTCGAAGTGTGCGACTGTCGTACCACCCCCATCACATAACATAGATCTGCTCCTTATGACTATAATATTTTAGAAATCAAGCAATTTAACCTGTTAAAAAAGGCGACTTGTCTATTCTCTAAGTTACTAGTTCTACTAATTAGGGGTTGTTACCTTTAAAGTAGCCTGCTTGAGTAATTTTTTTCCCACCATTAGAATACAGAGGTCTTTAAACTATTTATTTTTTATTTTGTGATTGTTTTTGAAGTGTAACGAAGTAAAATACCCGTACTGCAAGAGAGCTATATTAGCAAAAATAACTGGCTTGCGCACAGCACAAAGAACTATGCAGTTTGTGATGATGAAAGAGAGGGGCATTTTTATAAAAAGCTGGCTCAAGTGCCTCATGCTCCACTTGCGCTTCGTGCCATACTTTATCAATATACAAGGGACCCCTACCTTATTTCTAACATTATATATAGGGATTTTTACCTTCCTATATCATATATGAAACATTATTACCCTCAATATTTAAGGTTTGTGTTTATTACATTTCAGCATATCAAATTACCATTTATATACCATAATTAATTTAGAGGTATAATTAATTGGCAGTTTCTTACTCCTTAATTAAAGGTATCCATATATCTCACGTTTATCTCTCCCCTTAATTACTAAGATCTGACCAGCCCGTTTTCCCCCTCCCATTTCTTTCTCTACTCCGTTTCTATTTCTCATTTCTTTCTTATTCTACTCTGTTTTGCTTTTTAATCCATTTTTATAAACATAAAAAAAGTATACTAAATAAGTTGTTGGTTCGGAGATGAATCTCATTTTACCTAGTACTTCATGTAATAATTGCTAAAATTGTAGTAACTAAATGAAGCTATTTTGCCAGCATAAGTTGACGGAAGCTGTGTTGATTTGATAGCTGTACACAGTACACTTGTGGGTGGTTCTTCAATTACCGGAAAAAAATATCGAAGAGTACATGGTCAGCACCACCGTCGCTACTCCTTTTTACCATCGCTATTGGAGATTTCAGAAGGTGTGTTGCTTGTGGTAGACTTGTAGGTAGTCGTCCGATTGCCAGAAAAGTTGCCGGAGTCGGAAAAGTTCAATGTACCAATCCAATAAACGGTGACTATTTTTGTAGATGAAGAGCAAATTTTGTTGTCAATATTTTTTTCACATAAGATTGTAGTTTTAATTGTAGTATAAATATAGTAATTTTGTAGAAATTGTAGAAAAATTAGAAAAATTGTAGATAAATTGCAGACTGTTTTTTGCAGAAGATTTTGTAGAAGCTTTAGTCGTTTTGGATTTGTGAAAACAGAAAACAATGCATTTACAATCAGAATACAAATAATCTACAATTTATCTACAATATATCTACAAACTGGATACATTGAATTTTAATATCCCAATTTCCATTTCAATTGTAGCATAATTNTAGAAGTAAGTCTTAAACCAACCATCTCTGAGTGAAACAAAAGAAAGAAAGGTATTGTTTAATGGGAAATCACAAATTTAGATTATCAGATATGCTACCAAATGCTTGGTTCTACAAGATAAGAGACATGAGCAAATCCAAACCCCATAAAGCCTCTGCCTCCAAGAATAAAAACCCTTGTTCTAGTGTGCAAAAAACACAATTTTCACAACCGAGATCATCCTTTTATTATGCTACAGAGTCTATTAGAGTTGGCAATTCTCCTACAAATCTCAAAAATCCTGATCAACCAAGAAGATCATCTAAGAGAAGAAGCAAAAGAGTGACCATTTACAAGCCCTCTCCGGAATTGGACTTGCTTAAATCTCCATCTGATTCCAATGGTCTTGTCTCCTGGTCAACTTCTTACTTCAGTTCTTCAACTAGTGATATAATCATAGACATGAATGAAATAATTTCAGAAATTGACCTTCCTCCAATTCTCACAAAGCCAGCAAAATCTTATAATAGGAAGCAACAAAGTCAAGAAAGCATTAACGCTAAAAGAGACAATTCTGCTCCCAGAAAATCGTCTACTGGAGTGAAACTCAGAGCGAAAATTCAGGGGCATGGCAGAAAAAGCGTGTCATCCTCAAAAAAGCGTGTCTCCAAAAAAGAAAATTCAAAGTCAAAAAGAAGGAGCTTTTCATCAGGGAGCTTAGCAATAGTGATGGCTTCATTTGATCCTCAAAAGGATTTTAAAGAATCAATGATGGAGATGATTGTGGAAAACAATATTAAGGCATCAAAAGACTTGGAACATCTTCTTGCTTGCTATCTTTCTTTGAACTCCGATGAATATCATCACCTTATTATCAACGCATTTGAACAAATTTGGTCTGACCTTCACTTGTAAATTCATTCCTTGTAAAATACACTTCTTCTTTTGATTCTTTGATTAACTTCATCTTAGTTCAATATGAATTGGTTACATTATATGAAGGTACAAGGACAAGTTTTAAATTTACATATACTACGCTAAAAGAGAAAATGAACTTTTCTAATTGGTTATAACTATTTTTTTTCTGAAAAAGTTGTTGCGAGTATGCTGTTGTAAATCAACGAAATAGGTAAAAAAAAAAAACACTTTTACATTAACAGAACAAAAACTCAAAAGAAAATGTCAGTATCTTCAGGAAGACAAAAGAGTGTAGAATGGTGTAGAGGTGTTGGTAACACGCAACATAAGATAATAATAATCTTAGGAAGATCTTTTCATGTTTAAAATTTATTTACATGTCAAAGATCGAAGGATCTAAGATGTACCTGGTGAAAAGAGTCTCGTTTCGAAAATTAAAACTATACTGATCCTTACTATCAACTCTTTGATCAACGAAAATTGAATGAAAATATTGTGTTGAAAGCTTTCTCAAAAAACTCAACTCAAAAGTGGAAGAACAAGAAACTATTTTCTTGTAATAGTATTTTTTTCTCTTGGCTTTTGTATTGCACTCTCACTTTCACAAATTGATTTTTTTCGGCAAATTTTTCCCACCCTTTATATAGCATCACTTATAAACCATTTTCCTATTTGGTTGAATTAATGATTTACTTATTTCAAAAATAAGTAAAAGTTTATTTCAAAAATAAAGTTTATGGAATTGAAACGGAGGGAGTATCAATTATGAATACTATACAACAACAACATACCCAGTATTATCCCACACTATGGGGTCTGGAAACGGTAGTATGTACGCAGACCTTACCCCTACCTTGTGAGGATAGAGAGGTTGTTTCCAATAGACCATTGGCTCAGGAAAGCATAAGCACTAATGGAAATATAGACAAGAAGGAACAGTACCAAAAAGCCATATAAAAGCAGAATAAAAACAACAAGATAGTAAGGTGATCAACAATGAAAGAATGCAATAGTTAGTCATAAAAACCTACTACCAACAGAAAGCGGGACTGCGTGCCAATACTACTATTATGAACACCCTAGACTACCTACTTTACTATCCTAATACTCGACCTTCATACCTTCTTATCAATGGTCATGTCCTCGGTCAGTTGAAGTTGCGTCATGTCTTGTCTAATCACTTCTCCTCACCTCTTCCTTGGCCTACTCTACCTCTTCGTAGGCCCTCCAATGTCAACCTCCCACACCTCCTGACATGGGCGTCTCTGCTCCTCCTCCTTACATGACCAAACCACCTAAGTTGTGGTTCCCTCATCTTGTCCTCAATAGGGGCCGCACGCACCTTATCGCAAATAACCTCATTTCTAATCTTATCTAATCTGGTGTGCCCGCACATCCATCTCAACATCCTCATGCTATCTTCATAATCTGGACATGAGCGATCTTGACTGGCTAACACTCAGCCCCATACAACATCGTTGGTCGGACCACCACTCTGTAGAACTTACCCTTAAGTTTCGGTGGCACCTTCTTGTCACAAAAAACACCGGAAGCGAGTCTTTATTTCATCCATCCCACTCCAATATGATGTGTGACATCTTCATCAATATCCTCATCCCCCTGAATAATAGACCCAAAGTACTTAAAACTACCTATCCTAGGGATGACCTGCGAGTCCAGTCTCACCTCCCCAGCCATGATACATGGGGTTGAGTGTTGGCCTGTTAAGAACTCACATATCTAGAAGATGAAGTAGCAGAAATGAGGATGTTGAGGTGGATGTGCAGGTATACTAGGATGGAGAAAATTAGGAATGAAGATATTCGGGAGAAGGTAGACATGGCTTCCATTGATGATAAGATGCGGGAAGCGAGGCTCGGATGGTTCGGACACATACATTTTTATGTACTAACAATGTAAAGAATATTTATATAATTAAGTCATATATACGATAACTATCAATAAATTTATATTATATATAATATTAATTGATAATTTGATAAGAATGATAACTAGCTTGTTATTAATTACAAATTAAACTTTTACGTTTGTCAATCCTTATTCTTTTCATCTTTGCCACCTTCCCCAATGATGTGAAGACAAAGGAGGTCCATATTAGACACATATTGCAAATAGCCACCTTAGAGTATGCATTGTTGTCTAAAGTAAATGTTTTTGGATCATAAAGTAAAAAGTAGTGTCTCCATTACAGATATGAGTGAACAACCTAGACTATGGACCCTTTGTTCCTTTACACATTTGATGATAATGCCAATTTAGCTGTTCATTGATCATATAAAACTGTCATTTTTAATATGATTCATCATACTACGCATGCCAAAGGCCACTTCTAGTGCCCAGCAATAATAATATTATTAAGAGAAAATTCAAGTTAAAAGTCGATCACAAATACGTCTAGCTAAGTACGAATTAGTAATCTTAATTATATTTAGCATGCACAAAAAATTTAATGATCAATCATAAAACATAAATTCTTACCGCATGCGTTGCATATAAATCATGAATGTTAAAGGATTACCGCATGCATTGTACTATTCCTATATCTTATGCTTAATCTACTTTATATTGGAGGTATGATATTCCAGACATAGTTTGCTCCGGTTCATGTACAATCTGCTAATTGCACCTTGTTTATTAAATAAGGTGTACGAGATAAACTTTCATTGTGATTTAGCATTATGCAACTATATATGTATGTGACAAAGCTACTAGTTTGCTTATTAAAAGAAAGACCATCTTATATACATACGATAAGGTCAGTGACCATCAAGTGATGTGGTGCAGTGGATGGGGCTGTTCTTCCTCTAACCAGAGGTCTCGAGTTCGAGCCCTGGGTATGGAAAGATCATTGGTAGGAAGCGCTATCCCCCGAATGGGGTCTTACCCGGCGCGAATCCAAATATAGTCGGACTCCAATACGGATACCGGATACCAGGTGGGAAATCAACCAAAAAAAGATAACTGGTTAGTAATTCAGTTTTTCTCTCTGCCCCACTTTGATTAACCGTGTTTAATTAATTAGCATAGAGATTAAAGAAACAAGTGATTTTGGTAAAGTATCTGAAAAATCATAACTTTGTTGGAAATGTGTGAAACAAAAAGTTAATTTACAGATGAAATGACATGCATGTGTACACTAAAAGAAATTGACACATTAAATATAGTCCGTGAAGTGTCAGTACACAGATTTTATTTCNTGGGAAATCAACCAAAAAAAGATAACTGGTTAGTAATTCAGTTTTTCTCTCTGCCCCACTTTGATTAACCGTGTTTAATTAATTAGCATAGAGATTAAAGAAACAAGTGATTTTGGTAAAGTATCTGAAAAATCATAACTTTGTTGGAAATGTGTGAAACAAAAAGTTAATTTACAGATGAAATGACATGCATGTATGTGTGTACTTAAAGAAATTGACACATTAACTATAGTCCGTGAAGTGTCAGTACACAGATTTTCTTTCAACTCTAATGTTTTGTATAGTAGTAAATGCATGGATGAGCCCCACACATTATAGTAAATATTACGGAAAAGGTGAGCCCCACACATTATAGTAAATATTATGGAAAATGTCAAATATATTCCTATACTATTAGAAAAGGTTTAGATGTTTCTCTTGTTATACTTTGAGTCCAAATATGTCTTTGTTGATATACTATTGGTTCAAATATACCCCTATTCTGTTAAGTTTGTCTAAAGTGAATTGGATGTCAAATATACCCCTCTTCTGTTATTACGTCAGAAATATATTTGGACCAACAGTATAACAAAGGATATATTTAAAAAAAAAATTCATAGTACAGGAGAATAATTGACCATTTGCCGTAAATATTATTCTAGGAGAGGAGGGTACATAAACCAAACAATAATAGAAGACTAGGAGCAGCAAAACTACGTGTCTTCTGTTGTCTAATAATTTTGGGTTATCTAGTACTTGCCCTGTCAAAAAGACTCGTGGCATATCACTGTGATTAGCAAAAAAGGACCACAAATCGGCCAAAGCATAGCAATATTGTACCCATTCTATTAGACAAAGAGAGCTTTGCAGCTGCTGGGTTGTTACCTCAATGTATACAGAATATATATAGGTTCTTTTAATTAACTACACTCTAATCACTTAACTAATAATATTGTTTACCCTCAAAATCGAATAACAATTGAATTTGTAAATGGTTTTAAGGATACGTGGATTAATTTGACACAAATCGATAAATTGAATTGTAATTAAAACGAAAGTAAATCCAAACCGTACGACTTAACAGTTATAGCCTTGAAAAGTAAGTCTCACTTTAACTGTATGCAATTCGAACAATATTAGATACGGAAGAACAATAGCTTACAGAAAGGAAATAATATTATACTGCTTTGGGATGCGTGTTACCATGTGTTTTACAAGTAATCAGACCCCCTTTATATAGTAGGGGAGTCCTACTTTAGGTACAATTCTATAAAAGGTAAAAATCTCCTGATTTGTTGATTTGTTGGTTCTTTATTGATACGTGCCGAGATTCCCGCCATAATACCCGATCGGTCAAGGATATTTCGGCCTTCTGTTATTACGGTCTCATGTTGGTTGTACAAACAATATTTCCTCGAGCTCGTTCGGGGTCAGGGTCGATTCTAGGACCATGGACTCAATGTTCTCGAGGACGGACATTCTGACCTCGTGTTCTCGTTCGATGGGATTTGGGGTTGGTCTTCAATCCCTCATGTTCTGAGCCCGATCGTTCATGCTATAGACGAGCCTAATTTCGACTGTATACTGATAGTCCCCTCGTTTATCAGAGAGTAAACGACAAGAAACGATATAAGCTTCCGATTCTCACCTCGATACCATGTGTCAGAAACGACAAAATGAGCGAAACGTCTCGTCAGTCACGTCTCGATGGCATTAAATGCTTGTCATTTGCCGGTCGGCTACTTCTGGATTCAAACCGTCATTTGAAAAGTATAAATACCCCCTTCCTTATCCATTCAAACATTACTTCCAAATTTTCTCTACTCTTGTTCCTTAAAAATCTTTGCATTT